AGGAAGGAAGGAAGGAAGGAAGGAAGGAAGGAAGGAAGGAAGGAAGGAAGGAAGGAAGGAAGACTTTCCATCTACCCAAGCAATACTTGGCTAGCAGCCATAATAATATATTTTCATAACAACCTGATAAGGAAATGAACCTCCTTTTCCCATGTGGTTTGAAATGTTACTTGAAAAGAAGTGATGACAATAGAACTAATGGTATTAACAGCAATGCAAATAGCCAAGTATTTTAGAGGATACCAAGAGTTTCAGAGATTTTTGCATACTAGGAAATAATATAATCTCATTGTGAACGTATGCCATGGAAATTAACTCTTTAAACTCCTCATGTAGATAGTTAGATCAGATCGTACTATGGAGCAAATAGTCTTCCCTGTGCCCAGTATATGTGAATTCCTCACCAAGGAATCCAAACTCCGGGTGTACTACACTACGGAAAGGGATGAGCAAGGCAGCAAGATAAATGACTTCTTCATGAGATCTGAGGACCTTTTTAATGAAATGAACTGGCAGAAAAAGCTAAGAGGTAAGTTGGGGTTGGGGATGCAAAAGGTTGCTTTTCAGTACTGTATAATAGTTCCTGATTTGAGATTGCACAAGTTTTTCCGGAGAGAAAAGGAATGCTAGACTTTCGTGATTTTTGTTTCCTTACTTGTTTTGTTTTGTTTTGTTTTCTTATTTTCACGCAAACTTCAGAATTTGGCTTACATTCTCTCAGGTTTCCAGGAGGGCTTTGTTTAAACACTGCTTAAGCCTGTTGCTATTTATTCTCATTGTATTTCCCAATTAATGTTTTGAACATACATGCAAGGAAGTAGCCAAATGATTACGAGAATGAGTAGACATCAATTTGAGAGGTGCGGGGCCAGTTATACGATCCTTATGAGGGTTGCAACCTTGCAGCTGAACTAGACAGCTAACCTCTTTTATTTAGTTCTATTTATTTTAGTTTCATTTATTTTAAAACAGCTCTGCTAGGATACAAGAAACTAACAATTTTATCATGGCATAAGCTTTCATGAGCTAGATACTCTAACCCATTTCACTGGATGCTTAATGTCTTATCCCAAGTGCTGGGAGAAGCCATGTCTTACATTTAGCCTGTTCTCTAAATCTAAATCTCTCAGCCTTCAAAGCTACAGTCAGCTCAGATGGGAAGGCGGAATAAATGTTGCATGGCTTTGTTTTGTTTTTTGGTTGTGGAGCAAATAGCAGTGCCAACTGTCTCCCAATCCTGCTCTCCTAACCAAGTTACTTTTAAAGTGGAACAATAAATAACAATAAATAGAATTTACAGGCATTCACACTTCTTCCATATGATACTGCTTTATCCCATGTTCACATTTGATAGCTTTTATATAGTTTCAGCTACTATTTGTGTATAGAAAGGGAATACTAAAAGAAACATCTATTTGAGGTGACTGCAGAAGGTTATCTAAAAGCCACGTTCTGCATGCTTCTCTAGATTTCATCTGATTGCTCAGTGATGGAGCATCTATTTTGCAAGCAGAAACATTAAAATAGCATGGTCAGTTCATTATGGATATTACTGAGGTAAATAAGTCTCATCTAACTCAGTATACCAGTCTACCTCTTGTGTCCCTAATTGTACAGACAGAACATTATTTTAAAAAAAAACAGAGGTTCAAATTTAAAACCAGTGGAGCATAACATATACACTATGCATACATATTGTATTTGACACTTAGTTCTCTCATGCTCTTTCCCATCTAAGGCTTAATGAAGGAGAGTCATTCTGTAGAGCATACAAGAGTTTACACCACTGTCATCTATGCTGATTAGGCTTCTTTTGAAGCTCTGGATGCCACAAATTAAAATATGCAACCAATATGAAAAAAAAAGTCAGGAGAGAGATACAAGAATTGTCTTTGTGGCCATGTTTATTCTGAAGAATGGAAGGTTGTGGTGGGGATTCACTTTGTTGTTAGGAAGGAAAGTGGTGGAAGGTGAAATACACTGAGAGTTTAGTTGCATGATTTTACGTGTAAAGGCATACAGATTTTCGGGATCTAGATTACTGCTTCATTAGGCAGAGAAAGCACAGATCTTGTTTTGTATCTTCATGTCAAGCAATCATGTTACCCTACTATTTTGTAGATTTTTTTTTCCCCCTCCACATTTTTCTAGGATATACCAGCCTTTCCTTTTTGGCATCCTTCAGATACATTGGGACTGCATCTCCCAGACTTGGCCATGTTAGACTGAATTCTGAGAGTTGTAATCCCAGTACTTCTGTGAGATCCCCAGACTTTGATTTTAAGATGGGTGGCCATATTAATATATAAAATAAATAAAATAAAGATTTGGGAAGACATCCTATAGTGAAAAATGGTAAAGGAAGTACACAAAGAATGCAGAAGACAGACAGCTCTGTCACAGAATGGGGGTGAGCAATGGTTTCCTAAGTAGAGGCTGCTTCTCCTCCCCTCCTCCTCCTCCTCCTCCTCCTCCTCCTCCTCTTTCTCACTAAGAAACACAGTGATTGGAACTATGTCACATGTATGAGTGGCACTTAGATTTTCTGGATTTTTTTTCTCCTTGAATACCCTGTTTCAAATGCAAGTTTTCAGCTGGGATTGTTTTAAAAGATGTGGGCTTTCAAGGAAAGGTTGAGATCTGTGCAAATGTCAGTGGAGCTTTGTGTGCAGAACTTATCTGAGCAGGTGAGCTAAATTGTCATAATTGTTTAAATTGACCATGAAGACGAGGGAATGCAAGTCATTAGAATGTGAGTTTAACACAGGCCTGGAAACTTGTCACTTACAGAGACAACATGCAATTCTGTTTTGCAGCCAGCTAGATTCTTGCTAATCCTACAGTTTATCACTGAGAACCTGGAGCTATAAAAACAGAAGTCTTATCATAGTCCTGTTGTGCCAACATAAATTTGCTCATAGACTGTGTAAGCCTCGCTGAGTCACAAATTGTTGTTTTAGGGGCAAAGAGAAGGGTGTTACAGGCTTTATGAGGGATGATGGCAGAATTGCTGAGCTATTTGCACTTACTTGGTCCAATAGTTCAGCTTTTTTTTTTTTTTTTGGTCTTTTTGGTTTGAGTTTGGGCATCTTCTGAGCTGAGTTACTGTGTAACAGATTTTAATATATAACTCTCTCAGCATTTTGGGGATGTGTATACCGCCAATTGTACAACCCAGAGGCGTGCACAAAGGGGATCTAGGGGGGAAAATGGCAAAAGCAGCACTGCACTATTGTAATTCAAGTACCACCCTTTTGTCCTTGCATCATAACAGTGCATGTGTGTAAAGTAATGGTGGAGCTGATTGTGCAACACTGTTTTTGTCACTTTGATGAAAGCATCTTCTCCTGTGGATCCTCTGCTGTTATCCGAATCTGGACGGTGTGTGCAGTATCATTTAATAAATTAAAACCAAATACTTAACAGCCAGTCACAACTGCAACATCCAGTTTTGATCTGAAGCTGCCATTTCCACTGGTATAAACCTGAAAATGGATATTTTAAACACATGATTTCTGTTCTCATGGTATTTACAACTTAATTGGTTATGTAAAAGCTACTTTCTGTTTAATGTAGTCTTTGATCTGAAAAAATTTCTCTAGGAATCAAATGCCATGAACTTCTGAACTTTGCAAACAGCAGTTAAAAGGAAATTAAATGAAATAATAAAGATTACTCTTGTTGGCAGTACGTCATTCTAGGAAAAGTTGGCAAAATATATATTTGTTTCTAAGATTTATTCCTTGTTAAAAGAAAATCATACCTTTGAATCCATCAAACATTTTTTTCCTGATTTCGCAGCTCAACATATATTATACTGGTGTTCCCGCAACATGTCCTTCTGGAGCAGTATTTCATTTAATCTTGCAGTCCTTATGAATCTACTGGTAGCATTCTTCTATCCATTTAAAGGAATCAAAGGAGGTACTTATATTTCAAATTTGTGAAACATAGAATTTAAAAGTTATACCACAAAGATTTGGGGCAGGGGGGAGAAGTAATTAATTATTTAATTTTAGTAGCAGTTTTAGTGATTTAGTGACTTAGTGCTAAGCAATTTATAATTTCCCACGTGATGAGAAACCTAAGAGGGGCAGTATTGAGAGTCTAATTTATTCTGGCTGTGGAAACCTTTCTGATATCTGTCTTATTTACAAATATTATGTACAAATATGCAAGCAGAGAATGATGAATACACATACCTTAAAGAAGGCATGGCAACAGCTTAAACGTTCTTTAGATGTCAAAGAAGCTGAGTGAGAACCAGTATAACTAAAATCACAGCTGTCCCATTTCATATTACTGCTAGCTTTATCTCTGTATACTTTCCAAATTTTTTTGGATTATATGTTCCAAAACAGACAGGAAAGAAAATTCTGACAAGGGAGAAGAGTGAATGTTATATTGTCAAATCCTCTATTAATTTATCAAGCCCATTTATGCTAATCAATACAGCCAAAAATCATTATACTCAAAAATCATTATATGTTTGCTGTGAAGAAGATACCTTGTATAACTGGATGGACCTAAATGACCCATCAGTAATAACTGCACATACCATAGAAATAACACTTGCCATCTAAGACATTTCAAAAATTATTTCACAGAGCTTGCTTTCTGGCCTGTGTGATTTTTTTTCAAATGTATCCATTCTGTTTCTATATTAAACTTTTTAAAAAGGTTTTTGAATATGCTTGACTATATATTTAATCATAATCTTTTTGTATAATTTTGTTTTAAAGTATACACATTAAAATGCATTTTAATATATATTGCTGAATTAAGAACTATGCTGAAACTTTTGCAGAAGTGTTCAGACGAGGGGATGGTTATGCTCTAGTCCCCATAATCAAGTTAGGTCAGCTCACGCTGAACCGTGCAAAGATCAAAACCAGGCATGTCGTCTTTAATTTTGGTTTAAAATTTTCTTTGCTTCAGGAAGCAGAAAATCTCAAACCACAACCGAATTCTCATCTCTGTTAAAAACTACAATGACCAGGATTCTTTAGAGGCGTATCAGTTCAACTGACAAGGAACTGATGCCTGCCTAAGAGAATAAAGTAGCACGCAGGGACATGCCTTCAGCTTCAGGTGATTAATATTTGGTATTAATCCCAAATGGAGTATGTCATTGGAGTGTGCCACTGATATATTGACATGAGGGCAGACTAACTGAGTCAAGTGTAGTGAGGGGGGGCTATTCATCACAGCATCTAGATGTTAGTAGGTTAGTAAGCAATGCTGAATTAAGAAATCAGAAAATAGCATTTCTGTGAGTAATCTTGAAACTGTTTCCTGAAGTAGGGAAAAATGACTGCTAAGCTGGGCCAGTTTGTCTGTAAGTTTGTTTCCAGAAAATTGATGAGATAATTGCTGAATTGATAAGCCTTGGTTCTTTTGGTTTCATCTGGTTTGGGAAAGACTGACATGCAGTACATTTCCTGAAATCCGGACAGTTTTTCTTATATTTCGTTCTGCTGCCGATTGTGATTTGTGTGTGTTCTTTGATGATGTTGTGGAATATTGAATTGTTTTATATTGTTGTTAGTAGTTGCAAGGGCTCTGTGGAGCCATATGAGGGGAGAGTAAATAAATAATGAACTCTGGATTATTTCCTTTGTCAGGTACGCTGGAGCCCCATTTGTCAGGCTTACTCTGGACAGCCATGCTGATATCGCTCGCCATCGTTATCGCTTTACCTAAGCCCCACGGTATTAGGGCTTTAATAGCTTCTACAATATTGCGATTAATATTTTCTGTAGGTTTACAGCCCACATTATTTCTTCTGGGGGCTTTCAATGTAAGTGTAAAATAAAATTCTCTGGGATTTGTTGATATTTTAATGAAAAAATGTTTACTTATCTAACAAGGGTTAGGGTTATATCTCATGTATACAGTTTTTAAACTTTTCTTATGTTAAACTGAGAATTAGCATTTTAACTGTGCGTTAATCTTCTCTTTCTTTGCTCTGCAGGTTTGTAACAAAATTATATTTTTGATGAGTTTTGTTGGTAATTGTGGAACATTTACTAGAGGATACAAAGCCATGATCATGGATGTAGAGTTTCTTTATCATCTACTGTATCTTCTTATTTGTGCAATGGGGCTGTTTGTTCATGAATTTTTCTACAGTTTATTGGTACGTGTTTCTCTCTGGCAACTTACCTATGATACTGTTTGTTGATCACAAGATCCATACTGTTACATGACAGACATCTACAACCAGAGACTTTTATGTGGTCTCCAGGAAGCCATTCTGATTGTCATTGCTGAAAAATTACAGCAAATATTTCTATGATATTGAAAAAGAAAACACACAAAAACTGTAGTTTATGCTCTAAAATCACAGTTCCAACAAAATCTAGAGAAATAATGAAAAACCCCAGTCTCACTGTGATGTGACCATATCAACTCTGCATACTTTGCATACCACTCTGCCTGTACTATGCTATATAGTATTGTAATTTATGTAATAATTATTATATATACTATCATTGAAAGACCTAAAGGACCAGGTTAGGGAGAGATTGTCATGGAGAGAATCTATCTATGTGGCTGCTGAGAGTCATAATGGCTCATAATCAATCAATCAATCAATCAATCTATACTATAGCATGTAGAGTAACTATATAGACACAGACAGACATGCACACACACTGAGAGCCAATGTAGTGTAGTGTTTAAGGCGCTACACTAGGAGCAGGATGACTCAGATTCTAGTCCTCCCTTCCAAGGAAGCTGGCTGGGTGACTTGTGCCAGTCCCTTTCTCTTTAGAGTTGACTAGGAAGTTGAAAAAGTTCTATCTGCCAATCCACACTGGATCAGTGTGGTTGATTATGGCCCATAACCTTCAGGAACTTCCAAATTTCATCCTGCAGTATACTGATTTGAGATGAGATTTATATTAGTATCATCACATCAGTGTAGCCCTCAGATGCTAAAAGCTGCCAGGTCCTCTAATGTTTGTTTGTTTGTTTATCAATCATATTTGTATGGCTGCTCATCTCACAAGAGCATGACTCTGGGTGGCGTACAACAGTCAATTAAAAAGAAAACCAATAAATATATAAAACAATCATTATATAAAAAAATAAAAACTATAAAAAAGCACACAAGCAAGAAAGGATGATGTTAGCTGCAAAAAGGGAGCCATCGCAAGATCTCCCCAGTCGCTTGGGACCCCCAGGCCTGATGGCATAGTCAGCTCTTGAGGGACTTGCAGAATGTCACAAGTATGATACTAAATACATTTGTATCTATTCATTTATGCATCAAAAGAGGGTTTTTTTAGATCTGCAGCCTAAGAAATTACATCTTTGAAATCTGTTGCCGCACACTTCATTTTAAAATAATTTCCTGGTCTGGCTGGGATCTAAAAGAAATGCTTAACCAGCTCTATAGCCTACCAAGCTGTGGCCAACTGCTTCTCAAACAACTGTACCGCCACCCTGTATCTGCTAAGCCACTTGATAAATTCCATTGTAAAATACTATAATGTGTACCTTTCCAAAGAAAAGAAAGATTCCTGAAGTGGTCTTTACATCCTTGTTTCTGTTTTGAAGGTACTTTTCAAAAGCCTGAGTACCTCTTTTTCATTCCAAGAGAGAAAAGAAAAGATATGGCTCAACCCAGATAAAATTGAAATCAGTGAGACTAATTAATTAATTAAAGGAGAAATTACACATTTTTAAAGGATACATGTAATGACTAAACACTGCCTCTCAGTTCAGTTTGGTTACAGATAATCAAATTAATTAGCAAGTGTTTTGAAGGAAAACATCTGTTCTTTTTGGGCTTTTTCTTGAATTGCAATGTGTTGTGTACATGCCAATGAAGCTATGTCTTAACCTAGTGGTTCCTGGGAAATCAATTTCACCTATGACACAAAACTGCTTGGAAATTAGCTTCCCTTTTTCCTTCCAAAACACATGTACGTTCAGGTCCAAGAGATATGCTCATTAAGATTTAATGGGGAACCTACCACATAATTATGTAGTTGTTTGCAACAAACCATGGTGAGAATGACCAAACTGCAAAGATACTCTCTAAGAAAAGTTTTGATCCGTCGTGAGTTCTAGTTAAGTGCTTTATAGCAGTTAGCACAAGTTCCAGCAAGATTAAAGTTTTGGTGTAAAAGAACACTTGTGCATATACTAAAAAACAGTTCTCTGCTCTGTATCCACCCAATCTTTGTATTTTTCTTTCCATTTCAAGTCAGAGAAATTATGAAGGAAATGATACTTAGTTCATAACAGAGCTAGTCATTAGCCATTTACAATTTTGTGTTAGGAAATTCTGAGTTTCCAGTGATCTGGTGGATTTAAAGTGGCACATCTCTCAGCAGCTGGCTGTACTTGGCTGATCTTGTCAGGGTTTGAACACTAAGCAGACTCAGGTCAAAGAAGGAGACCACCAGGGAGTGCCAGGACTTTAGGCTAGACTAGGAAGTAAACAAATTTAGAAAAAAAAGCATCTCAGGAGAAGGCGGTGGCAAATTACATCCAAGAAATACTGTTGCCAAGAAAACCACACAGTTGTGTATATCAAGTGCCCAAAGTCACACTTTACCTGAAGTGAATTTTACCCTTTGCTTTATCAGCCAGAAGGAAGTGCTTAAGCCTTCATAAATGGCTGTCCAGTTTGCTTTCAATATTCCTTTTCCCCTTAAGAGTGTTTAAAAATCAAGTACAAGCCCAGATGATGAAAAACTAGACTGGGGGAAAGTGGTTGTGACAAAAGAGAATTGTGGACATAGAAGTGGAGCTAAATATACTAACCTCTTTCCAGTTTTCTTTGACAAATGTCCCCTGTCTTTCTTGAGCACCCCCCCCCCTATTTTCCCACCTCATTCACAAGACACAAATGTGAGAAGTTTGGGGGTGATTTGACTGCTGGAATGTTAAAAGGAATAAATTGGGAAGCTTACTCCAAAAAGGTTTTATGACAGCATTAATTCTTTTACCTCCACTACAATCCTGTGAATGATGGCATATTATTGTGGAGTGCTGTTTTAATGGAAAGGATCTATGCATGAAAATGTTACCTCTTTCACCCCACCCCAATACAAGTGAAGGTTATTTTGGGGGAAAAAATTCACCTCACTTTTCCCAACACAAAATATTATTCTATTCAAAGGTAAAATCATTCAGTGAGGTTCAGCATGACTTTGCTTGATTTAGGATTGTTGACTTTTCTGATATTGGCCTTAGGAAAGGTTTTTCAAATACATATTTGTACAAAATGTTTATTAGACTAATTTAAAATCACAAAACAACGTACAGAGTTCAAGTTCATTGAGAACACAAAAGTGATTGGTTGAAGCTCTGTCTTCATTAAGTTATGTATAATTGTTTTTGAGCTAAGAACAGTTGAGGCATTCAAAAAATTTCCACTAGATCATACATAAGCTTTTCATTTTTATACTATTTTTTCATGTGAGAATTTACGTGTCAGATTCCAAACTATCATACTTCTACTGTCTGTCATAATCTGCTTGTGGAGCAAACAAGGGTTTAGGAGAAGAAATACAAACTAGGTGACCATTGCATGACTATTTCGCTGTTAACATACAATATCTAAGCTGGGTTCTGTAGTCTCTAGGCTAGAAATCAAGGAATGCTGATAGCTGTCAGCAAACCAGCTTTCTTATTTCAGTTTATCTGGTATAACAACGTTGGTGGGGATTTGGTTTTTTTTCATAGGATCATAGAGTGGAAGGGACTATTAAGGCCATCAGTGCAGGAACTCAAAACAAAGTAATTCCGCCAAATGCCTGTTCAGGCTCTGCTTGATCTATCCAACAAAGGGAAGCCCATCATTTCCCTAGGTAATTGGTTCCACTGTCACACTGCTCTTGCTGTTAGGAAGCTTTTTCTAACATTCAGCCAGGATCTTCCTTCCTGGAACTTAAGACCAGTACAACTTACTTGTATCTTGTACTCTGAAGCAATAGATTAAAAGGGTGTGACCTTCTATTTAGTTTTTAGTAAAAATGTCAGAAAGCATTGATCTGTCTTTTCTAAAAAAATAAGTATCAGGATTTCATTTTTAAAAAAAGCATGTTGCCCAATTATTTTTGTTACCCAGAAAGATAATGTGTGTAATAGGCTATTATGTGAATTAATTGTTAATGCATTGGATAAACATTTTGAACTGTCCTTTTCCAGCTTTTTGACTTGGTGTACAGGGAGGAGACCTTGCTGAATGTCATTAAAAGTGTCACTCGCAATGGACGTTCTATCATCTTGACCGCTGTTCTTGCTCTTATTTTGGTTTACCTGTTCTCAATAGTAGGATACCTGTTCTTCAAAGATGACTTTATCTTGGAAGTAGATAAGCTGCCTAATGAGACATTATTGCCAGGTTTGTACTCAATTCCTTTTAGCAAAGAAAATATACCACAAATGGCAAAAAAAAAAGTAGGGGTTTTATCCTGTGAATGCTAATCCCTCTCTACCCCACAGGCGATTTCTTACTAAAATCAGTGGTACTTTGAGATATTTCTGCTTATAAATTGAGTTCTTGATATTTTGAAAACTTAACTAATTAGGCTGCAAAGCAACCCAAGACTGCTTGTAGAAGTTATTTTTAATCTGTGACATGCATTAAGAAACATAACTGAAAATAAATGTCTGTACCAAGTAGTCTGTACAGTCTAACTCTGTACCCAGTATATTCAAATTATGTGATCTGGATGACATATGGTGAAAAATGTAATGAAAAAAAAATCCTATTTTTTTCTGTAAATTATTTTGTTTCCAAATACCACATTTTAAAAGTAGGACGGGTATCATTCAGTTTTCTGCCTCTAAAGTTTCCTGAACAGGAGGGGCTGAAAACTTCAAATTTATTTCTTTGTTTTGGGATTGGGAGGTTTAAGGAGGAAAAAGAATACCTTAAAGAGTACTTTGCATCCTTAAAAGCTCCGCTCCTATCTCCCAAAGAGCCACTTGAGAAGCAGAGGCCAAGAGGATAAATGCCTTGTTCTCCAGAGAACCATCCAAGGTGTACTCCCAACTGCAGTGCAACAACACCGTAACAGCAGAGGCACCAACAGCAGAAACTGAATAGTACTGGAAGAACATATGGGAGAAACAGAAGACACATAACACCAGTGCAAAGTGGCTGCA